ACTAACTGTTTTCTATTGGACGGGACCAGCTGTCATTACAATGAGAGCTTGTCGGAGCCGGCGGTCATATCAAAGCCAGCTCCAACAAGCTCTCATGACAGTCCAGCGTCCTGTTTACTGTTACTAGGTAACCAGGAGATGCTAAACTGTCATTACACACTGAGAACCCGGCGGAGCCACTGTGATATCATGGTGGTTCCTCCAGGTTCTCAGTGTGTAATGGCAGTCCAGCGTCCCCTGGTTACTAGGTAGAACCCGGCGGAGCCGCCGTGATATAGCGGCTCTGCCGGGTTCTCAGTGTGTAATGACAGTCCAACGTCCCTTGGTTACTAGATAACCAGGAGATGCTGAACTGTCATTACACACTGATAACCTGGCGGAGCCGCCGTGATATCACAGCGGCTCCGCCGGGTTCTCAGTGTAATGACACATCAGCGTCCGTGGTTAGCTACTAACCAGGGGACGCTGATCTGTCTCTGCATGCAAGTGGCCAGAGCCAACCGTGAGATGATGGCTGGCACCGCCAAGCTGTCAGTAGCACGTTGTCGGCCAGCCGTTCCAGCTTCGGCTTTCACCTCGGCTCAGTCGAGCCGAAGCATATGTCTTCAGCTCGACTGAGCCGCTCGGCCAACTTCGGGAGCTGTACGGGCTCAAGTGAATAGCCCGTACAGCAGCCCTTCGGTTCTACTCAACCGAAGGTGTCCTGGGGCCGAAGCTAGCCGAAGGATCAGCCGAAGCTATGGCTAGATCCTTCGGCAGCTTTGTGAATAACCCCCATAGTACTATGTTTCCCCAGTTATGAAGGAACAGGCTGTGATTTACATCAAAGCCTGTTCATTCATGAATATTATTTATTTATTTTTTTCTTTTAAAAAAAACATTGAGACTTCCAGTTCCGGCTCCCATGTAATTGGCAGTGGGGAGACAGCGCTCCGTCCCCAACACTAACCAGCTTACTAATCCCGGCCAGCGGCACACTCACCCATAGACCCGAGCGGGTTGAGAGGCTCTAGGGGACCATATGGAACGGTTCCTGGAACCGAAAGCGGTCCGGTCCCGATCAGTGCTGGAGGGGACACAGACACACGCTGCAGCCAAGATGGCCGCCGCACCTGACAGGCTGAGCCGCCGAAGCCCCTCTCCTGCATCCTCCCTGGCTGAGTCCCTGGACGGATCCACAATGCCAGGATAGCAGAGGCAGTGGCCAGGCTTCTCAAGCCCACTATAACAGAGGCTGTGGAGTCAGCCATGCAACAAGGGCTACTCCAGCTGAGGCAGGAAATCACAGCACAGGCACGATCCATCTCTGTGACTGAACAGAGGATATCAAGTGTGGAAGATGACCTCTTGGAAGCACAGGTTAAGATTGCACAATATGAATCTATATCCCTTTCTATGCAATCAAAACTGGATGACCTGGAAAATAGATCCAGGAGAAATAACCTACGGATTGTGGGCCTCCCGGAAGCATATAAACCGTCGACGCTCGCGAAACTCTGCGCCTACACAATTCCGGAAGCTCTTCGCATCCCAGTGTCCTGCATGGTAGAAAGGTCACATCGTCTAGGCCCTCCAAGAGAAGACAACGAGACGCCACCGCCTGTAATTGTACGGTATCTTAACTATGCGGACCGGAAGAGTTTATTGCAGCAATATCGAGCACAGAGGTCCCTTGAAGTGGAGGGTCACCGACTACTCCTATTTGCAGATTACTCCGCTGAAGTGGCCAAGAAACGCAAAGCCTTCAATGAGGTCTGCTCAGCCCTTGTCCAAAGACAAATTCGGTTCACATTGGCATATCCAGCTGTTCTATACTTTGATGATGCAGATGGTAAGCGACTCTCTTTCCAAGATCCACTAAAGGCCGCGGAAGCGGTGAATCGACTAGAAGCGTCATCTGGGTCTCCCTCCAAGCCTCCACCTTATGCACGTCCTGCTCGTTCACCTCGTACTCCCGCACACCCCGTAAATTCACAAGATCCTCAAAGAAAACGGGGGGCACGCCCCGTAAATGTCGGCAACGCTGACGCGCCGGCTTGGCATCCTGGATCCCCTGAGACAGCTGGGCGCAAGTATGTCTACTGCATCATTATGTGACTATATGCCATAGTTGCCTTGGTTTGTCATATTTCTCTTGAATGTTGTTCCAAAATGAGTGACGAGGGAAATGTGGTTTGTTTAATGTGATCTACCCCGTGGGATTATTACTGCATCTATGGGTATTGCTGAAGGCCTTGGTATTCCCTACTGTATAGTGTTGTGGTGGACACAAGGGTGTGAGCGCCTTCCCCACAAATGCATGACGTGGGAAATACCGAAGTCAGTCAATTATAGTTTGTTATTACTGTTGTTTATAGTTAAGCTAAGTTGGGTCATACACTTCAGAATCTTATCCATATGTACATCACACTGGATTATCCCCACACTGCCGTGGGTTTTTTCCCCTCCCCCACAAGGAGCATAGCACCCCTCTGTACTGAAATTATACTCACCCGTAACTGGACGGTGACCGGGCGGGACTCTGGGGGCCTTACAGCATCTACTGTCCGAGCAGCCTCTAGTGAGTTTATTGATCAGCGAATTAGACGCCAGACACCTGCTAGAACATAAAAGTAATCTCATGGAATGTTAAAGGCCTACGCTCCCCCCAAAAACGTAATTAAGTTCTGTTTCAGCTCCGCAGACTGCGCGCAGACGTTGCAAGAGACAAACTTGAGGAAGGATGACTTCCATAGAATGCGTAAAACTTGGGTGGGGGAGGAGGAAAACGCCATCCTCTTTATACTATCTGAATTACCCCCTCTTAATTGACAGGATAATCAAAGAACTAGAAATGTGGGGGAATCTCCCCCTTTCGCTCTTCGGGAGAATACACCTGCTAAAAGTGATTAGCTTTGCCAGACTCCTGTACCCCATGCAAAACCTTCCTCTTCTACTGAAGAGTGGCGACATTAAAAGACTTATGAGAGCGATGTCGCAATTCGTCTGGCAGTCTAAACGGCCAAGGATATATCACATAGGAAACTGTGGTTGCCGAAGAGCGAGGGGGGTGCTAACTTCCCGAATATTAAATTGTACAACATTGCGTGTTTGCTCAGACATGCACTGGATTGGTTGTCAGGTAGCTCTATGTACTCAAATACGGACCTGGAAGGGGAACTAGTTGCACCAGGCATTCGACAAAATACTTTATACAGGGACACCATCATTGCATGGCGAGAAACATGGAAGGCACTGCAAATGTCTCCGTATGTGTCGGTCCACAACCCGTTCTTAGGTAACCCTATGTTCTCACAAGGTGTTGATTATGCTGCTTTCCATAAATGGAGAGACAAAGGGTTATTTAACTGGCGACAATTATTCCATCCACGCACCGGTCAGTCTCTCTCCTTTCAGGAGCTATGTCTACAATTTAACTTACCAGGAGCAGATTTCCTGCACTTCTTACAACTTAAATGAGCCTGGAAGGAGTATGGGGGTACACCCAAGAAATTCTTCTCTTAGTCCTTTCTGGACATTCTCATTAGATCAGATCATACTCCGTTTCGACAACGTACCCCAGGCTCCAGACGCTATTTCTCAATCCTCTTTCCTCAAATGTGCGAGACTGGGCAAGGGACTTTGATGACCCAGATATGCTGGATAAAATCCTCAGAGGCTATAACACAATCAGGACTATAACTCCTAATGAAGTGTGGAGGGAGACCCAGTTCAAGATCCTTCACAGAGCCTATGTTCCGTTCTTTCGGCCTCCGGACAACGGAGACATGCCCGCTCCAGGGAGATCAACAACATCCATCTGCCCGAAGTGTGGGTGTCCCAGACCCACATTGCATCATTGCTAAGCTGATTTGAAAAATGTTCCGGAGGGCTTGGCAGCAAAAGGGTTAAAGGAGAACTATGAAGCAATTTTTTTTTTTCCATAGTTCTCAGTGTCAAAGGAGGACATATACTGTGTCCTCCCGTGACCCAAAACTCAGCATATAGCAGACTATTGTCCGCTTTATGCTGAGAGATACTTCATTTGGACACAGGACCTTGCTGAGACTGTGTACTGAGCTGTGCATGCACAGCTCAGTGTACACAAATGCTGAGAGGCAGGTAAGCAGACCTACAGAGTCTCTTCTGTCATAAAACTCCTACTTGTCAGCATTTTTAAATATTAAAAAAAACTTCCACTATTAGCATAGTCTACTAAATAGGATAGGATTAAATTTATATAGGTTGCAGAGAGCAGGATTAAGTTCTGTATCCTGCTCTATGTACATACAGTGTATATACGCGTAGTATAGTATACACGTAGTATACACTGTGAACACGTCTCCAAGCCCATGAGAAGGTTTTCATACTGACGGTGTTACGGCTGGTCCCGATTCAACCCAAGTACGCTCTGCTAAAGCGTCCCTTGGTTAACTTGGTCGGTCACTCTTTATGCCCTGATGAAGAGACCCTGCGTGGTCTCGAAACGTTGGCTCTTGTGATTGTGTGACGTCTATGTCCAATAAATGGACATGTTGGATTATTCTACTGAGTGCTGGTGATTCCTTTTCCTATATTGTGTCTGCACGGTGCCATCCGTGTTCATCACTACAAGCACCATTGTCTTCATAGGCCTTGATTGGTGCAAGGTGTGCAGAGGATTTCCCCTTCTATCCTTGGTTAAATCCGACACAGGGAGACAGATGACAATCTATAGAACACACACATCCTAATATAAAAATGTCCACTTGAGTCCATATAATAACATTTCCACAACATGGGGAAGGTTCTACCAACATTGCCTATCTCCATTTCTCGTTACTTCCTGAAGTTTATCCCACAGAAAAAAACATTAGTGCATGTTACAAGTGTAAGAAATAAAGGTAAAATGTATTTGCTAAATTTTGTAGGAAAACAATCCATGAATGAAGCTTATAGTTTTCTGACGTATTACATACAAATGCTTGGTTTTATATATTAAGTGACTATTAAAAAAAAAAATGTTAATTGTTCTTCCACAGATCACAGTGCACTTACCACAGGCTTGGCATTTGGTCAGAGTGCAAAGTTCCTGGCTTCAACAGGAATGGATCGCAGTCTACGATTTTACAGCCTTTGATCTGTCAAAGCATGAATATGCGGCACCCTTTGTGACATTCACGCAACATGCTTATATCCTTTAACACTCTTGTGCATGTGTACAACACCGATGTGAGTGATTACTGTGAAGTATTGGGAAAAATAGCAGCAATACAATTTGTACTCCTTTTTTTTTCTGTAAATTTATAGAATTTTCTTACATGGTCATATATAGGTAATCATGGTTATTGTTTTCCTAGCTGGTCACTGGCCTTACAGCTTTTCTTATCTCCTTACTAAGTAGCTTTACAAGGTCTTATTGGAACTTTCGCTACTTTACTGTTGAATTTTAACACCATATGTAGTTCCTGTGATTAGTAGAGTGTGCTTTCAGGTTTTTTTTTGTTTTGGTTTTTTTACTCTTTATTGATTTCTGTCTAGTTTGTAATGTTTTCTTAAATTCCTAAAAAATAAAATAAAATATGACTTAATGCTTACCTGAATATGTTGAATTTCCCTGGCTGATTGATTCGCTCAAGCAATATAAGTGTGCACATTCATCCATACATATGTTTAAGGCCATATTTGTGTATGCTAATCACCAGCCGAGTAAATGATGATTTGAACAGTGGTCTTAAATTTGAAAAATAAATCCAGCATTAAAAGCATTTCTAACCTGGTTCTGATTCTGGCTTTAAAAAAAATCCCCAAAAACATTAAGTGTCAGGCAGGGGCGGATCTAGAGTCTATTCTCGGGAGGGGCACTGCCAGAAAATTAAGTAGATCCCTGGATCCAGACAAGCTCAGCCTTCTGTCTCCCACGCTGTCAGAAACTGCATACAGCGTGTGCTGGTTACTACTTAAACCGGCGCGCAGTGTGCAGCTTCTGAGAAGAAACGCTATTAGCATAGCGGGGAAGGCGGCTGCGCATTTTGCATCGCTCCCGCTACGATAATATCGTATCTTCTCAGAAGCTGCACACAGCGCGGCGGTTTAAGTAGTAACCAGCACACGCTGTATGCAGTTTCTGACAGCATGGGAGATGGGAGGCTGCACTTGTCGGTGGATCCAGGCATCAGGTGAGTATTAAAAAACAAAAATGTTTTATTTTATGTTCCTGGGGACATGTAGGGCTCATTCACACTGGAATCGGCCGGTACGTACAGCTCCGTGCTGTGTGCACAGCCGTATCGGGCAGCTCCCGGGAAGGACAGGTGCTGCGTATGATTAGTATGCAGCCCCTGTCCTTCTCTATGGGTGTATGCAGCCGTACACCCCCCTACGCTCACCCGCCCAGCACGCCCGTACTGGTGTATGTTTCCTTGCTCGACTGCAGACAGGATCCATCCTGTCAGCATACGGGTACGCTCACCCGCACCGATGTACAGGACGGGTGAGCGCAGGGCGGCGTACGGCCGCGTAGTCCCATAGAGAAGAATGGGGGCTGTGTACTAATCACACGCATCACCTGTCCTTCCCAGGAGCTGCCCGATACGGCCGTGCACACAGCACGGAGCTGTACGTGCCGGCCGATTCCAGTGTGAATGAGCCCTTAAAAATGTTCCTGGATTTAAAAAAACTGGTCACCTTACCCTGGTGGTCAGTGGGGGCTCTGGTTGGTAGTGAGGGCTCTCCTGTGGCCGCACCAGCCAGTTTGCCCGCAGTAGATCCCGTCACTGAACCCCCTGCGCTAAATGAAGCCCCCGGCCGCAGGTGCAGTGGCTCCCTCCACCGCCTCTCTGCCACCTGCACCGCTACAGATGCGGCTCTCTAATCGCGCAGCCGCTCGCTTCTCAAGGGTATACCGAGGCGATCCGGGCTGGCTGGAGCAGGCAGATGCGGCCCTCTATTCAGGTATGTTAGGGGGCTGCATGCTGGGGCCTCCCGAGTACCCCTTGAGGAGTGAGCGGCCGCACGATTAGAGAGCCATTATACAGCAATGCTGAATACCACCCAGCTACAGTCCCCCAATCCCCCCAAGCCAGCCATCACCCACAGACTCCCCAACCTTACCTACATCCAGGCTGCAGCACCTCTCCTTGGTGGCCAGTGGAGGGGAGGGGTCACAGTAGCGGGTCCTCACTCACGCTGACCCACATACCAGGATGTCGCTGTGTCTTTGGCTGCCTGCAGAGATGGATATTGGCTCCGCCTCCACCAGGCTAACAGTGATGACAGGCAGCCGCCTGTTGTATTCGGATCCCCGCACAGCACACACACCGGAAAATACAGCTGTCCCTCCGTGTGTGTCTAGGGTTGCCACCTGTCCAGGATTCACCCGGACAGTCCAGGTTTTGAATGCTGTGTTCGGGTTTCATGGCAGCAGAAACCCGGACACAAGATGTCAAGACAGGGGCAACCAAAATTATGATAGGGGCTGCTGGCCCCCCACTGAAAACAGTCTCAACTGTGATATTTACATATGAATGGGTGGCGCTATTTACATATGAATAAGCTACGACTTATTTTCCCCAAAAAATGTCTGCGCGTCGGCCGAGTGTTCGGGTTTTGCTTGAAGAAAAGGTGGCAACCAGGGCCGGACTGGGACTAAAAATAGGCCCGGGCCTTTTAGACTGAGCAGCCCAATCACGTGACCACCAACAGGCCCCACCCCTCACAACATGGGGCGGAGCGAAACACAGAAGCGCAATCGAGGGGCAGGGCCAGCCACTTGTAAGTACTGGAGGACTACAGCTGACACACAAGCCTTGCTACAACCAATACACAAACCAATGTAGGAAGCTTGCTATAGAGAATATCTGTAAAAAATAAGTCAAGGCAACTGGACTTTCTGTATTTTACTTGAAGACATTTCACTAGTCATCCAACCAGCTTTCTCAATTCAGAAATTTCTGAATTGAGAAAGCTGGTTGGATGACCAGTGAAACGTCTTCAAGAAAAATACAGAAAGTATTTTTTCTGTATTTTTCCATGTGACCTGGATGAATGAACCTTCACAGACATATTGCTATAGAGAATCGGATCTCACTGGCCCCCCAACCCCCCTGGCATTCTCTGCACTAAAGTAGCTAACACTCTAATGTCCCCCGCACAGTCACACACTATTATTATACATTTATAAAGCTCTGACATATTCCGCAGTGCTATACAGAGAAGTCACATCAGTCTCTGTACAGAGGAGCTTACACTCTAATGCAGAATACCATCAGCTATATAGGACTACTGCAATGCAGAATAATAGTATATGAATTTGGTACATACTTTGTGCTGCCGCTCTGCTCCAGGGTACCAGCCTGAAGTCTCGTGCAAATTGTCTCAGAAGGGGAAGATAAGCAGCTGGTGGAAGCCCGGTAAGAAGGCACCGCGTGGTTCCCCAGAAGGCTGCGGTGCGGGACCTAACACAGCCAAATCAACGCAGAAGTCAGTGGTGTAATGCAGAGTACAGAAGTCAGAGGTGCAACACAGAGCACAGCAGTGTGACGCAGAGGGCAGCGCTGTGACGCAGAGGTCAGCAGTGTGATCTACAGTGCAGTGGTCAGGGTGTGATGCAGAGGACAGCGGTGTGACTTACAGTGCAGAGGCCAGAGCTGGGGCTTCTAGTCTCAGGTGACGCCTCCAGTCCAGCATGATGCCCAGCTCCCTCCTTGTGCCCTCACTTCAGGACCCGCTCTTTCTCTGTCAATGGTAGCCCTGCAGTCTTATTCCTAGCCTATGGCAGCTGAAGTGGACGGAGGAAGTTGCAGGTGGCCAACTGAAGCGGGTGGTCCACGTGCAGTACAGCCTTCTCGGCCAATCCTCTTACTTCTAAGTAAGTCAGGTAGTTGGAGATCTCAGAAGTTGGAACTTTTCTCCTGATTAAGGATGGGCTCGGGCGTGTTCGCAGCTCCACGTGCCGAGCCCGCCAGGAAGCTGACAGCGTGCAGCGCCAATCACAGGTAGTAAGACATTTTCCTGGTCCGCTGCCGGCTTTGCGGTGGGCCCGGCACATGGAGCACTGAACACGCCCGAGCCCATCCTTACTCCTGCAGGGTCTGTGGTGGGCTCTGTGGGGTCTCAAGTGGGCTGTGAAGGATCTCTGGTCGTCTCTGCAGGGTCTCAGGGTGCTAAGCCCACCTGAGACCCTGCAGAGCACACCATAGACCCCGACACAGATCCTGCAAAACCCCGAGACCCGGTTGATGAATTTTACAGATCCTGCACAGCCCCCGAGACCCTGCAGTCTCAGGGGGCTGTGCAGGATCTGTGGTGGGCTCTGCCCACCATAGACCTCGCAGAGCTCACCACAGATCTTGCAAAGCACCCTTGAGGCCCAGCAAAGACCCCCACAGATCCTGCAAAGACCCCCTGAGATCCTGCAGGATCTCAGGGGGGCTCTGCAGGATCTGTGGTGAGCTTTGCAGACGGCAGAGCCCCCTCGGATCCTGCAGAGCCCACCAAAGGGTATTGCACAGCACACCTGAGACTTTTTGGTTGGCTGTGCAGAATCTATGCTGGGCTCTGCCAGCACATTCCTCTTACCTTGCATGGCCTGACCTCTTCGGCGACGCCTCCCGTCTCCTCTGTCAGTGTCTCTGTCCCCCGCCTCTTCCATCTCGGGGGCCACTCGACAAATTTTTTTCTCTCATGGGGGCCGTCTGCCACATTTCATACTTTAAAATAATGTTCTCCTTTTAAGTAGTATAGACACCAATATACACACAATTCATATCTGTAGGTTTAGGTGTGATTAGGGATTCCTGCATCAGAAACGTGCGTTTTCCTGCAGCAGAAATCCCTAATCTGGCATTTACAAGTGACAGCTGTCACCTATTCAAGTTAATGATCAGGTGACAGCAGCTCCATGTAAACTCCTGCACACCGCATGTAATGGAATGTGATATGATTACATGCGGTTAGAAAACACTCCCTGAATGCACAATCGATGCGTCCAGGGAGAGTGATTGATTCCTAACTGAATGTAAACATATCGCATATCTTTACATGCAGTGTGCAGGCGTTTACATGCAGCTGCTGTCACCTGATGGGTAATTTAGGTGACAGCTGCCATTTGTAAACGCCAATTTAGGGATTTCATGTCGGGTCGCAGCGGTGGGGACCTCAGCACTGGCTGCCACGATGCCCTCCGCAGCTCATCTGACGGCACCATCTCCCTGCCCCCGC